CTGGAAAAAAAACATCCTTTGTTTTCAAGAAATGAATTCAAAAAAGGTTTCCGACACTGGAAGAAAATTTACAAAATTTAAAAAAAAAATAGACAACACTACAAAAATTGCTTAAGTAAGCAAAAAAAGTGACATTATTTGATGTTCTTCTTATATATTATCATAACAACCGAGAAAACCTGTGCATCTTAATTAAAGAAAACCTTGTCATAATATAATTTTACTGCATCATGCTCCCCGGTTTACCTCCTCGAGAAAACGTAGTCGCAATTAACCGAAATACCTTCATACGAGGCCGTAAACTCAAACACAGCCAGTATAAAGTTACGATCAAAATGAAATTTTAATACAGTATATACTTTAGAGAAGTGTGCATGAGGGAGAGTATGTTTAGAACAACGAACAAGACACGTCATAAACGGTAATAACGAACGGAACAAGTGTCCCATTGAATAATTATTAACAATTTCTTGCTTGATATTAAAGTCGTTAACAATTCGTATTGTGAAACAGGGAGTACTTTCGTTTTATTGAGTAATATCGTAAAATAGAACATAAAGTGATATTAGAGACTGGAAATACCGTTATTTTGAACTTATCAAAGATGAAACACGCTTGTTTATCAAATAAAACAACTTTAGAAAAGTGTGTCAGTGGTTGAATGATTGATTTTATAGATTCTAATTACTTGCTTCCGATATTAGAAGACATACATTTCTGAAAAAAGTAACGTATTTTTTTAGGGAAGCAGATTTGTGTAGAAGTAACGAGCTACTGGCAAAATTTGTGTCCATGGATTCTAGATCAACTATATTGTAAAAAAATAAAATATGTGAACTATCTACAAAAATTAACAATACTTTAGGTAGACTTATTTGTTGCAAGATTGTTACAAAAATAGTAGATTGTTTTATAAGGAGCAAAAATGATACATTTTCTGGCGAGACTGTACGTTTGACATTACAGGCGAGGTACAAAAGTCATTTTTACTCTGAATGGAACACTTCTTTTTTTTAGACGTCACAATTAATTTTTTAATCGATTTTAAACCTTGCAAATAATATACCGGGTGCGTCTCGAAGTGGCTCACTCCTATAACTTTCTTATTTCTTCAGATAAAAAAACGAGATTTGGTATGTTGGTATATGACATAAATAATTAGGATTGATTGACGTATTCACAATTGTTTTTGGTCACTTCCGGTTTCACCGGAAATGACTTCAACTTTTGATTTTTAAATGACACCCTCGGTATTTTTTTACTTTATTCGATAGAAAATGACTCCGAATCGAATGACATATCATATGTCAACTTTTGACATTTTGGCATATGGTTTATTTGAAACTGTAACATGCGGTTCATAACGACAATTTGACCCAAAATACCAAATGTGTGGTATCCTTTGAATAAGGAGACTAGACGATCAAATCTATTTTTCCAACATTTGGAATGTGATTAAACAACCGTGATTAAAAATTAGTGTTTTTAACACAGCCATGGTACTCTAGATTGAAATTTAAAATAGAATTTGTTTTTCAGTGACTATGTCAAAAATTGACATATGATATGTCATTCGATTCAGAATGTCATTTTCTATCGAATAAAGTAAAAAAATACCGAGGGTGCCATTTAAAAATCAAAAGTTGTTGTCATTTCCGGTGAAACCGGAAGTGACCGAAAACAATTGAAGACGTCGATCAATCCCAATTATTTTATGTCATGTACTAACATACCAAATCTCGTTGTTTTATCTGAAAAAAATAAAAAAATTATAGGGGTGAGCCACTTTTGAGACGCACCCGGTATAAAGGTTTAAAATAATACCTTGTAAGTAATTATACAGGGTGTTTCAGAAAACATGTACCATCTCTCGTGGGGAGGTATCTCGCATAAAAATAAGATTTATTTTTCATATCAATATAGGTCCGATTCTGCTTTGTTTCGTAGTTACAGGGTGCTAAAATCTTAAAATTTTTTCGTATATCTTTTAGTTTTTATATCTATATAGTTTAGTGCCCGATGCACTTTTGCAGGATCATGCATATTTATGTACTATCATCATATTATATAAACAAGGCTCATCATTGCCATTCGTAGACCGAAAGCCTTTTGCGGCGTTGCAAAAGTAATCACAAGAATATCTACAAAACAGTGAGTAATCAACAAATTTTCCGAGTAATGGGGAAATTTACCAGGATACAGACAAGCGAAAAAGTTCGTAGTAGAACATTCGCCAAAATTTACTTGAGACCTGATCAGCAAAGACGGAAATATTGTCAAATGTGTAGTGAGTCACGGGGCATTGTAAGCTTAATAGGCATCTAATGCTGATGAGATTGACGGACGAAGCAGATTTTGACAATCTGTAGAAGAAACGACAGAATATATTTTATGACAGCTTGGCTCAATTAGGAAAAACAACATCCTCTGCACAAAAAGGTCTTAAAACTAGCATTATATGCCATTGGAATACAAGTAAATTTCTTTTATAAAATATCAAAATACATATCCAACGACATTACTTTTTTAAAACATTTTTTTTTAAATTGACTAAGTCTAATTTAAACAGTCATTAACTTAATTATTAAACAGTCACTGTTTTATCGAGCTCGAAACAACAATGTAGAAATTAGTCTTAGTAAATTTAAAAAAAAAATAATGTAATGTCATTGGATATATATTTTAATATTTTATAAAGGAAATTTCCTTGTATTCCAATGGTGTATGATGCTAGTTTTAAGGCTTTTTTGTGCACAGGATGTTGTTTTTGCTAATTGACTCAGTAAAATTGTCCTGATCATGGGAATAAAATTCGCGAAAGCTTGACAAATTTGAAAAAGTAGTTTTATTAGCCTGTGTGGTGATTATTGACTGCATCCTCACTTAAATTTTGAGTTTTAACTTAGTCAGTCAGGACTAAACCTGCTATTTTTATATATAAGTATATAAAATTGGGTAAATTTTTTGTTTGTTTACGGCCTTAATTGATTAATATACCAGTAGTATTGCTTGATGAGTAATATCAATATCAATAATATATCTGCATCATCAATATATCGAGCTGATTCGGAAAATTATTGATTGACCCGATGTTCAATAAACGTATTTAGTCGACGGACATTTTTAAAAAGCTATGTTCTCTTATTGTTTTAAGAAAAAACTATAAAAGATACTTTTGTTAATAATAATAACATGGTTTGATCTAAATCCATTCAAAAATGAGAAATAATTAGAGGATTTTTTTAAATAGACTAACACCATGGGAATTAAGACCTATAAAAGGCGGACCGCCATGCCATCGCCAGAACAGTTAGTACTCTTATTCTGCAGTTTTACGATTTTAAGTTTTGGATATATATTTTTTTAATGTATATTGTAATTAATAATATTAGACAATGATTACAATTAAATATTCGTGTTGACCTTAGCCTACATCCTCTTGTAACCTTAGAGGAATAGCCAATTTAATCTACCATCGGTAACTGTATTTTAAATGCACTGTTTTTGATTTTTATACCAGTTTTATATGTTGGTATTATATTATACTCCATTGCAAACTAATGGTATTTATTCATACTCCATGTTTACGTATTTTTGTAAAGCCACATAAAGTTTGATCTTGATTGCTTTGCGAAGTAGTACGAAGAATAGAAGCACGTGTTAACATTTTTTTGCCGAAACTGTGTCTAATCTCGGTCTATTTCGATCTATTTCGGAGTTTTTGCGGCCTTGACAAGCCGCAACATAAGAAAAGCATTGAGTCGACTTCTGAAGGTATTTCGAGAAATGCTTCGCGAAATATTTCTGGAAATATTTCGTAAAACATTTATAGTGTAGAGGATGTTTTAAACATTAAAAAGTATTGTTCACTTATTTCCAATCTATGGATATATATTAAAGCGATAACCAGCTCTTAATAGATAACAAATACAGCATAAAGTAATCTTGTATTAGTATTAAATATACTAATACCAATACAAAGCAAAGAAGACAGGTGTCCTGAATATTGTTCTTTTTCTATCTGAATAGCTGTGAAATGCCCCATTAAATTAATACTCAATTACTGCGAGTTCGAAATTACAATGGAACGATGCACTTTTCGACGCGCGTGATTGCTTTTTATTCAAAATCGTACTCTACCCTAATTTGCTAATTAATCTTAATTAGTGTAAGCCGACTCGTCGGCCTATCGATCATGTTTGCATTTCACCTAATTAATCCGTGCATTTTATCGCAATTCCCGATGAGTTTGCCAAACAAATCATATTGACTTTTCGTACGTATAGGCTCTGTTCGATATTAGGTACCTTATTATGTATTGATAAAGGGTTTATTATTCTGAACGTTAACTATAAAATATACTGTAATACCAAAGAATATTATATAACGCGCTAAAAGTCTGGTCTCGCATCAAAATCTGGTCTGTATATGATACGAGACTTCTAGAGCCGTATAATATTGTTTGGCAATACATCCCATATACAGGGTGATTCACTGCTATGGCACGTTAGACGTTTATGGAGAACCGGTGAATTTTTGCATAAAGGCACCTGCTCCAACTGTCTAAATTATTTTCAACATTACAGTGTTGCCGCTTCATAATAAAAGTGGTATCATCTTTGTTATTTTTAATGGAACACCCGGTATATTATTACATTTTTTAGAACTACTTTGATATCTTCATAATTTTTATATTACCGTGTCTGGGAGAATATGTTAGCAAACAAGAAGTGTGCAGTCAAAAGCACAGAAATGCAACAATTTTAGTCTAAACATCACAAAAAAATTAACTATCGCCTTCTGAATCTCAGAGACTTCAGTATGCGGTGCAGTGGCTATGTTGATATAAAAAATAAATATTATTTTTAAGTGAGCGATCTTCCCTCGAGAGATGGCATATGATTTAAGGAACAACCTGTATATCAATAATACAGATTTTATGTGCGCTGAATTAGATCTTATCTATGATGATGTTACTATCTATTTTTGTTTTGTTTCAGCTCAATAGCGATGAACAACAACAACACAACGCAAACGAACAACAACAACAGCCACACGAACAACAATATTTTGGAGAGCCAAACCAACGCCAAGCTCCAGGACCAGGAACAACCCGATCCGGACACGATCAAAATGTTCGTGGGCCAAGTACCGAGGTCGATGGACGAGAACGACTTGCGGCAGATGTTCGAGACGTACGGACGGGTCCATTCCATCAACGTGTTGAGAGACAAAGCGACAGGTGCCAGCAAAGGTAAGTGATCAATAATTAGTTGTTATATTCTTTGAAATGAATAGACTTATGGAAGGAGTCTAAGACCTACTATTTTTATATATTATTGCGTCAAACTTTCAATTTCTAGAATAGATTTTGGGTCATTTTTGTGGTCGTATTATTTTATAGTCGTAATTTATTTCGAATTTCTTCTGTAATCCTACAGTGGTTATAACAATAATTGTCTATTAGATTTCTAGCCTTGCTTGTGTAAAATCGCTTATTTCTGGGGCTTACTCAACCGGGTCTCACAATGCAAATTCACCTCAAATATCCATTTAGTTGGTCATTGGCAAGCACTCTCTCATTGTACATGAAAATAACAAAACAAACATTTACTGATCTGGATAAAATTGATAGTAAAAATAAATAGTAAGACTCACCCGGGGGTACTCCGCCCCCTAACCACTGACATCACTGACATTCTTATTCAATATATCACATTTCATATCTTCCATCTAATTCAAATATAATTCGGATCTATTGGTTAATAATCTTCAACAACTAGCTAGTGTCACCTGAAATAGTATAGGGGCTTCCGCCGGACGCAATTCTGCCGCTAAACAGATTCGCATCCCAATCGAATAAGCTAATTGGGGTACCTCACTAGTCTCTCTACCCCAACGCCGCATCGTGTCAATCGATAAGACAAGGGAGACCTCAAACTCTCAAGACCAACCTCGAAGGCAAGACGTCACAAGAGGTTTTCTTCTGGTCAAACGACCCGTTGCCTTACAGTACTTGCAACGTTTATAGTTAAAAGACTCTCAACCCCCAAATATCAGCTCTAAGACAAAACACAACACAACAGCCTGCCGGCCTAACAACTACTGACCTGCCGCAGGCAAGCTAAGCCTCCTCTTACATCACAATTTTACCTGATCACAAATATTTACATCGCTTGCCAATGAATCATACTATTTTCTCTAATCGACTTTAAAATAGAGTATTTTAGCATTACTAGATAAATAAATAGAGAGTTTCCGAAGGAATGCATATTGTTTATTAGAATATTGAATAAATAAAAGCATTATTATGACGAACTTTTTCCAAGTTTTACACTTGTGAGCCTTGTTTGGACATAATAATAATAATAAATAATATGACCTCTTCCGCTTAACTATGGTATTAAACTAAAAATATTTCACAAAAGTATAATATACACTTATAATCATGCACACTGTTTGATTGTAAATTAAATTATACATTATACTCAAAGCCATCACAATAAACTTCAGGCTCAGAAAACAATACATTTAATATTAGCTTTTTAACAGTAGATATAAATGCAAATAATGATTTCGATGTAAGGTTAGATTCTGATATGTTGTACATTGTTGCAATCCTCTATAGAACACTTTTCTTCAATGGGTTAGACGTATACGTGAGCGTATAAGGAAGTGACCATCAGATCCTGATTTCTAATATTTAAGTGGTGAATGTTACGATTGAAAATTATTCTATCATAAAGGTAGCTAGGTATTCTATTTATTACAATATTGTGATACAACCAACAACAATGTAAAAATCGCCTCTCTATCATATTAAGCCAGTTAATTTCCTTTAATTTGTATTGCTGAAAATCAATCAACACAAGAATTCTGAACACATTGCAAACACTGCTTTGCAATATGGTCTCTATAAAAGTGATAAGCTACATTACTATTATTTAAATGAGATAATATAGAGCGAATCCCCGAATTTCAGCGAATTTCCTATCGACCTCTTTATGAGATTACTTATATTAACATCAACTTTAAATTGTTATCAATATAAAAGCCTAAGCAACAGCATTATTTTTTTGATCTTTCACACTTAACACAACGGCGTGGGCTGGTCACACAGAAAGCGTTTTTTTGCTTCTTCGTGTTTTTGCGTGTGAAGCGGTTTTGCGATTTTACCGTTTAAAGTTTTTATTTCGATTTGTGTTCATTAAAACACGCAAAAGAAGCGGCAGGTCTCCAGATTCTATCAAGCTGTCGATTAGTAACGAAAAAGCTCTTGAAATTCCCGCCCCGTTCAACAATCAATCCGTTAAGGAAGAGTTGGAAACTATTTATACTAACATTTATGTAGGGATTGGGGTAGTTTTCACCCTCCCCGTACTTTTTCTTGACTTTTGTGAAAGTCAAATGTTAAAAAATGTGTTTATTTCTTTAAAGTTTGATACCCTCTAGAGGTCAAACGAAGCACTTTCGTATAAAGGTAAACTGTATCCAATGAAACGATTTGATTTGGTTGGTTCAAAAATACGTAGTAGGTCTATATCCATTGCGACACCCTGTAGAAATTTCTGACAGAAGCTCAGCAAGGGACACCTAATATACTACGAATTTTCCATAGAGAACTGCCAAATACTTTCCGCTGCTGAATTAAAACGGACCTAAATAAGGCGGAACCCCCCGGACAATAATTGTCCTCGAAATGATTTGTTTCTCTCGCCTCCGCTCGCCGACAAAAAACGAACTCCCTGTAAAAACGCGACGTTCCCTTCCGGCTTCTTTTTCACTCCATTGTTTGAGCGATTATAATGGAGCGTTTCGGTCGCGAAAGAACGAATCCGAATGACGTTTATTTTGGCTCTAAAAATGAAAATTGCAATTTCGAAATTGAATGCTCCCTGGATGGGTTATTATCCAGATTACATTGGAAAAATATTAGGTAATCTGCAACCGTATATTTATTGTAAAAGGTATTTTTTTTTTATTTGATAGAGGTATTACAGCTCGAAATATTAAATTGTTAAAGCTTTTATTTTATAAACAAAAAAAAATTATCAAATAATGTTTAGACATTTGTAGCGGCTTTATTTTTTAAAGGTGTGTGCAGACCTGACGAGATGACAGCGAGACGAGCGCGAGATTAGAAATATTTGCGGACAAGTGTGGACAGGTCTCGCGAGAGCCTCGCGAGAGCCTCGCGAGAGAATTCACGGAGCCTCGTTGCTATCAGTCGTTTGTCGGTTTTGCGACGGCCGATCAAAGAAAGCTCGCGCCACAGTCTGGACGTGTTTTTGGTAGGCTCGCTCGACTGCGAGATATTAGCTCTGATTTACGAATTTCGACTATTTAAAATTAAATAATCTCAAATTTTTTAGATGGTACACCGTATGTATTATCATTTTTTCTGATAAAATTTACAAATTTTGCGTTACTGATAATTTTTACCGTACCGAAATTTAACATTCCTTTGAACAAATTATTGAATTATTACAAAATCTATTACTTTTATGTAATATCATATGCAAAAAAGTTACCGAATTGTACGTAGGGTCAAATAATAAAATATCAATCAATAAATGGTATATCCGCAACACATTTTTGAAATACTCTGTATACTCTACAGCAATTTTAAAATGTCCTTCTATATAACTTTCCTATTTAACATTTTGTTCTGTAGCGTTTTTTTAAACAACCACCACTGCGAACGGCAGCTTTTCATCGGAGAGCAGTCGTGGATAAGGTATTTCACTGGAAAGAAAACTAATTAATAACAATAAACAAAAAAATAGATATTGGGCGCCAGGCATGTACAGAGAAAGAAAACACAATTGTATATTACTTAAAACTAATGACTATATTCGTTCATGATGTTCGTTGCTGATACATTGTAGAGTTCTAGTGAATATGTAGTGGTTATATGTCAAAGAAAGTGGTGGTAAGAGTTGTACTAAATATCAATGAAAACAACTACGATAAAATACAGGACATGTAAAGTTTAAGAGAAAATATGAAATGTAGCATTACTTTAATTAATTTGATATATTCCATATGATGCTAAATTGAAGATGTTACAACCTGTAGATTCTAGAATCTATGTCTCGTTATTCATCTGTTAATATAGCGCAATAATAATATCTATAGAAAGTAATACTATTACAAGGCGTGATATAATGAAACCTAAAATCTAAATCACATTGTAACTACTGAATCGACATAAATGTTCTTAATAATCTAACCACTAAATATAGTCCGTACGATATTAACTAAAATGTACGTTACTGTTTAAGACTGAAAATATAGAAAATCTAAAACATAAAAACTAGAACGTAAATCTACACTTAGCTGTTCTTTATGTAATCTTGCTTCAAACAGTAGCAGCGTGAGGTGGTCTCGCATCTCTGTACTGTCTGTCGGCGATCCAGGCTTAGAAATGGGGGTGAAGCAGATTGGACCAGTAAATGTGGTATTTTAAAGAGATTTGTCGACTTTTCCTAGTAATTTCTAATATTTACTATAGTGAAAGTAACATTTACTAAAGGTTGCCATTAAAAGTTATTTTATTGCACAGGATGAGTGTGGAGAGGAAGAGTGTTGGTGAAAGTTTGAACAAATAAAACTTTTAAGAATATTGGATCACCTCAATATTCAAGCTGATCCACATATCTTAAAACTACAATTTACTTCTTTAGTATCTTTATTAAAAATTATAGAAAATAACGACATAACCTTCTAAATATTAAACGGGAAAACAGTAAACATTTTAGAGCGTACAAAACCATTTAAAAAAAACATTCATAAACAGAAGATTACTTATTGGTACAAGGTTTTTTTTAATAAAGATCTTCATCGTGGACAAAATAAAGGTATGCCCGAATTTTCTTTAAAAGGAGTTCTTCGTTTTTTCAAACCCGCTATTTCAAAAGCATATCAAAACGTTTAATAAGTTCATAGTCATTAGGCTCATTAATATCTTTCTCTTGCACGCTTAACTTTTGCTATGACTTCATTATATTATAAAAATGAAAACCAAGCACTCTTGCATTCTTGCGAGTACCTAGTTTATTTTAATTTTTCACAGAAAATTTCTTACACAGGGAACATACCACAGCACTTTTTACAACGTTAAGAAAACAGTTATACAGAACCACAAAAAACAAAGCGAATTTATGCCAGATGTCTGTCAACGTTGCCAACGTTTAGCCCAATTTAATATTATTCTTATATTGCCTATTATTTAACTTATCTTTATTTAGCCAT